GAACTTCGCCCTAGATCATTTGAATACATCCTTTCCTTATGTTTATTTATTTCCCCCAAGAATTACATTGAAATGCCTACAAGGTGAAATACAATAGTGATTGTGTTGGCACCTTAAACAGCTCTAAATATTGGAGAAGAATTAATAGATTTATTAATTGGGATACACAAATCAGCCAGTTGGGAAAGATGACTTATAAAAATATTTCTAGCTCTCAAATATCCTAAGAAGAAAGAGAGGCACAAAAAATCAAGCAACACAAACATCTTTGTTCAACTAGAAGATGAATGACTAAGAGTGCTAGCCTCAGAGTTGACAGAGTTACATACGAAACCCAGCTCTGCTGCTTGATAGCTGTGTGAACTCTTGAGTTCCAGATCCTCATCTGAAACGTGTGCAAGTTAAATCAAATGAGGCTACCTAAGTAAAGCCCCTAGTAAGTGCTTGACATACAGTAGGTACTTACCAAATTGCAGTTTCTGCATTTCTCTTCACCTGCTAAACTCCTTCCCATTCAAGGGCCATTCAGCAATACCTACTGAGTGTCTACACTGACCTGGAATTGTTCTTGGCCCTTGGAATGCACCCAGAGATGAACAGGCAAAAGAAACCCAGTCTCAGGAAGTTCACATTCCTTAATTACACCTCAGTTCTTCCAAGTTTGAAGCCCCTGACTCTGACCCTGTGTCTTACATCAGGGCATTACTAAACTGCGGTGATGCTGTGGCCCATCTCTCTTTCTATGGAGTGCAAGCACCATGAGGGCAGGCGCCATGCCTGGTTTGCACCACATAGTTCCCTCTCCTGACACAGTACACAGCACCTCATAGACACAGTTGCTGAATGAACTGATGATAGATGCATGGACAGATGAAGAGATAAATCATGAGAGTGGACTTCTATCCATTGCTCCTGGTTTGCCTTATGCCTCACTTTCTCTAAGCCAAAACAAAAACAAAAAAGGCTTGGTTTTGCCCAGAGTCTTAACTTATTAGAGAAATCTGAAGATTCCATACAGACCCAAGGAGCATGGTGCCCAGTGCAGAAGCACTTGATAGTCACGTTAAGATAACAGAAACTTCCCTGTTCTTTCTTTCCAGCTAGAGGCATAAAGACTTGGCTGTGTAACTTGTGTTGCTGGACTCAAATGGGTATCAGGAACCAACTGAGGGGCTAATGGCCTGTGGGTTGTAATCCTATCTCGTACTTGGTGTAACTCGAATTTGAGCCAGCATAGGTGCTCATCTGAATTTTAAAATTCTGCCTTTGCAATGACCACAGCAGGAGGTATGTGGTATTGCGGTTGAGAGGCTGAATTTGGGATTAGAACTGGGCTTTCGATCTGGCTCTGCCATGACCAGCTGTATGAGGTCTGACAAGTCACTTCTTGAAGCTTCAGCCTTTTCTCTGAGCTTCACCTACCTCGTAAATATACGTTAGACACTTTAAGCAGAGTGAATATTCAGTAAAAGGTTGTTGTTATTATTATTGTCGACACACTACACATTTCATCGCGGCATCCAGATCAGTGAGGTCCACACTGGGTACTAATTCTTAGGAAAAATCTCTTCTGAGTCCCTTTTATTAAAAAAAAGTAAATGAGTCACCTGTCACCTAAGAACAGCATCTACCTACAGAAGAGAGCTTAACAGGGTGCCTCTCATTTGACAGACGGGGAACCTGAAGCCCAAACAATGATGCAGGGTGTCTTAACGTCATGTGGCCGGTGAGTAGCACAGTGGGTGCTGGTCCCTTTTCCTTTGTTAGTATCGGCTGTCTTTCAGCTGTCTTTCCATGAAAGGGAGACATTCCACATTTCCTCCTTGTGCTAGCCAAAAGTAATCAGTCTCCTAGAAGCATCCATGGGGTAAACCCAGAAGCCTCTCCCTTATCAATGTCATACCTTGGGGAACTATCTCCAGCAGAGATAACAGAAAGAATAAATATTTTTGTTGATAGAAAAAAAATGAAGACAAAGGTCAAAGGGAATCATGTAATGGGTTGAAGCATGGGAGAAAAAAGAAAGCATTTTTTTCTCTCTCCTCTTTTTCTCCAAAACAGTCTTTATATAGAACTTGTGTAAGAGCCAACTTATTTGATATGGAAAAAATGTGAAAGCAGCAAAATACACACACACACACACACACATACAGGCCAAAGAGGTATTTGTGTTGGAGTTCAGAACTTGAATTAGCAAGAGATAAAGGAATTGAAAGGGTAGGCTAACTTGGAGGGGTGTTTAACTTTTTCTCAGAATCTCATTCAGGTCAGGAAGTGTAGCCCAGTGCAGCCCAGGTCTCCAATAAATTCCTTGGGGCTCATGAAAGACAAAGAGGAAGGCCAACAAAGGCCCCAGTCTAGCCCTTGTGTCTGAAATGTAGTGGGGATAGAGAAATATTTGTTGAGTGAATGCAAGTACCAATGGTACCTGTGAGTGTGGACCTGGAGAGAGGAGCATGGGAAGCAACTTGGCGTGCAGACGGCGTTTTTTTCCAAGTTGTTAAGGTCTTCAGCACTGAAGTGTAAGAGTCCATAGGAGAGGGACAGGGTCTGAGTCATCCCTGGGATCTCCAGCTCCCCGTACAGACTCTGGCTCCAATACGTATTTGTGAATTGAATGAATACTGTGTGAGTGAAGGAGACCTTGGGGATTCCTGGGCCTGAGAGAGAATTTGGAGCTGTGGTCATTTAACTTTAACCAATAACCGAGTCATCTGGAAAGGCTCTGAAATCCAAGTTTCTGATTCAGTTGTCTCGGCTGGGACCTAAAGACCTGGCCCAAGCCCTCAGACAGTGCTGCTGCTAGCGTGGGGCCACACTTTGAGAACCTGACTGATTTAGTGCAGTGGTTCTTCAACTTGGCAGCACGGTGTAGTCCTCCAGTGAGATTTTGAAAGTTCTGATGGTTAGGCTTTATCCTCCTTACCAGTGAAATAAATACCTGGAATGGGGTAGGGGGTGGAGGCTGCTGAGGAGGGTGAAAGGATGTGGATGTAGGTGATTTTTAAAAAGCCCCAAGTTCTGTAATGTGTACTTGACTTTGTGAACCACTAATCTAGTACAACCTCCTCCTTGTAGATTTCAGGTCTCTGAAGACCTGAAATGGTGAGTGTCTGATCTAAGATCATAACACATCCCTCCAAGTTAACCTACCCTTTCAATTCCTTTGTCTCTTGGAAATTTCAAGTTCTGAACTCCAAATAATCTAAGATCATAAGGCAGTGACTTAGCTGAGAATAGAGCTCAGGGTTGTTGTACTTCTTCAGTTCAATTTCCACCATTCTATACTTACCAACCCATGTCAGCTCTCACAGGCTCATAATCAGAAGCAAAAAATAAAAGCTGTGCTTAAGCTGAGGTTTTTAAAGGCATCTCTTACTTCTCCTCTACAAAGAAGTGTTCAGTGGAGGCATATTTATAGAACTTTACCACTCTAGACAAGTAAGGAGATGGAAGAGATGGGGTTATAGAATGTTTTCAAGGCAAGATGATCCCCTAAATTTAAACTGTCTTCTCAAACACAAACCAAGTGCTCCTTCTGAGTTCTTAAGCAGATGTTCTTCATCTCTGAGTCAATGAACGGGCAACAGTTCTCTTGTGATGTGCACGTTAACTGCTGGCATGTAAAAGGAAGTGCTGATAAAGTGTTTGGAAGTGGTTCTGTCTCTTAAAAAGATTAAAACTGTCTCCAGAACTTGGTTTCTATTAATGATTGCTTTAGTACATATTTTCAAGTAGACAGAGCACAGATTTTGTTTTATAGCATCTTAGAACCAAAGAAAGTGCCACAGAAGGCCCCCAGAAATCACTCACTTCAACATTTTCATCATGCAGAAGAGGAGATTGAAAAGAGGTTGACTGATTTATCGACATCAGTAAGTGGACTGGCTGTGGCCAGATGGGAGGTGTTTGACTCCTGCTATTGATCTTTCCAATACTCAAGTGTTCCCTACTGAAGTCCCTTGCACACAGTAGATGTTAACAATTGTGTGTGATTGTCGTCATGGACTCTTGGTGCCCAAATTAGGCAGCTAAGGCTCCTTCCTTTGTTAGATTAAAGTAGAAGTTGGAATCACATCTTTAACTCTACTTTGATGAAGTGCACTGGCTTATGAGTCAGGGTGGAATTCCAATCCTGTTGTCACTGCTTCCTAACCAGGTGATCTTGGACAAGTGACTTCTATACCCAAGCTGCAGTTTCCTTCTTTGTAAAATGAAGAGGAATATGGTTGTGGAGAGGACGAAATGTGTAAAAGATGCAAAGACCTTAGTCCATTGTCTTGCATACAGGAAAAGCATGAATGACTTCATTATAAGTTGGCCTCTCTCATAAAACAGAAAAACTGAGGATGTTTTGAGGAACAGGTGATAGAGAGATAGTTCGAGAAATGAATATTAAGGCTAAGCACTCTCTCACATAAAAGCAGTGAGTGTCCAAAAACAATCATGAAGACCAAGAGCTTGTAAGGATCAAGTGGATCAGAACCTCTCTTTCACGTCAGAAAAGAAAACAAAGTAAGGTCATGATCGACTATGTTCACCTTCCAGCAACATTCTCATGCAAATAACCAGCCACGTGTCCACCTCCCAGACAACCCGCTCTGACTTCACCCCCTGCTCACTCACCAAGGAAACTATCACAAAGCACGAATCTTCCTCAATATAAGAAAAGTAGAACGTTAGCAAACTTCAGTTCTTCCACTTTCATTAGTAATAAATGACTCAATGCTAATCTCATCCAACTTCTTTCATTTTGCTTTTGGGAAAAGTAAGTTGCAGAGAGATCAGGAGGCTTAGTGTTGCCCATTCAAGCTATCACCAAACCAGGCCCTTCCCACTGTATCAACTCTGCCTTGTTAAGACAATTCTACACGTAATGCAAATTATAGATCCCTAGAAGTGAGTCTGGCTGTGATGACCCTTCTTCCAGTCCAGACCTCTCTGACCCTTCCTTACAAACCACCCACTTATTCATCTCCTTGTCCAGACAGTGCACTTACATGTCCGTGAATCTTCTATTAAAGTGTAGGACGGAGGCCGCGTCCACATGAAGAGGAGGGTCGCGGACCACCTTGTATTTCAGGGGCTCACACTCTAGGCAGAGCAGGCTATCTGCGACGGAGGTCAGCATGGCTGCATCAATCTCTAGGTGCTCATCCAGTGTGTAGATCTGGATACCGTACACATCCTCGTCCACATCCCGGAGTTTGATAGTCAGTGGGACATCACAGAAGACATTCTGAGGGCCCAGAGAGATGTTCTTCCCACTGACAGTCAACAGTTTGATGTCATTGACAGCCCCACTAGAGTCCCAGTCAGTGGAGACAAAGGTCACCCAGATGGTCAAAGACTCAGGGACCAAGGGGTAGCGGAATTCCAGTTCTAGGTAGCAGCCTTGTGGCTCAGGGCAGGCTGGAGGGACTGTGTGTGGGTTGACAGCTGAATTTGGGCTCCAGGTGTGGACACTGGACTTACAGGGCTGCTCAACATCTGGATGACCTATGGAGAAGAGACGAGGGTATGAGTTCTGGGAAGACCTGCAGTCTGGTCCCTGGAGTTGCCTGAAGACCCCAGGAGAGACTGACCTGACTAGAACTTACAGGAGAAAAAGAGAGAGAACATTCTCAGCGTCTTAGTCTGATGTGCACACAACACCCAGCTTGTCTCCACCTCTGCAATATAGATCTTGAATGAATCACCAGACATTTGCTCAAAACTATATCATCTTACTATTGAGTCGCTGCCCAAATTTTCCTTCTTTATCTCCCACTTGTAGGTTTTGCTTCCTCGGATGGAAAGAAAGAAGGGACACACCTTTGCCAAACAACCATATTTCTCCTGAACGTATGTAATTCAAGGACTCACTTCAGAGGGGAGGCAACAAGAGTCCAGAAATGCAGAGCTACCTGACCAAAGTCTCACCGCATTTTGAACCCAGTTTTGCCTCATCCTGAAATCTGTACCCTTTGTTCTCTCTACTGGATGCAGGGACCACTAAAATAAACTAGATTCTGTGATGTTGCCTTTGGTACGACCTGCATGGAAAGAGAGAAGGGCCAGAAACCTCCAGCACAGAGGACGGCGTTGGCCCCTTGGAAGGAGGGTTCTGGGAGGAAACTGTCTAGAACCATGAATGACAGCTGGACGGCTGCCCTGGAGCCATCTTATCTCTCCTCCTCCCCTTCTCCACATGAGGTCATTCCATACCACTGAGCTTCTCCTGGGCTCTGTCCAGTATGACTCAGGAGGGGGAGGGCTGGGTGAGGAGCAAGGGGACGGAGGGATTCTTCTATGCTTTCCCAGGGGAGATGATGCCTCATCCCCACTGATCTCAGCCTGCAGCGACTTCTGAAGTTTTCTCTGCTGAGATCATGGGTCCTAGTCCCTCAGAGAGCTCTCCTTTGCACTGCTGAGAAAAGTATAATCAGGACTCGATATAGGGATTGGCTCTCACTTGTTTAAGGGAGTCTAGCAAGAGATAGAGATCAGCCGGTGAGGGTAGAGTGTAGGATCTCAAGTTGTCCTGTTAGCCACATTCTATTTTTTTATTTTTTCCCCTTAGTATCAGTGGTTGGTAGACAGAGGAGATGCTGGAGTTTTCTAAAGCAATCTTTGTCTGAAAAGGCTTTGTGGTAATGCTACAGGAACACGGCAATCATGACAATAGGAAAGCCATTTTGGGTGGAAAAGCTATGCCAGGGAAGGCTGCAAATGCCACCCATATCTGTGCCTCTGCCCAGCCAAGGGGAAGAGAGAAGACAACTGGTGGAGGTGCAGGAGAGAAGTGAAAAGGAGAAGAAAGGGGGTGGAGGACAGGGAAAATTCACAAGACTTTTTATCTATAACACATCAGAACAGAAAGAGGTGGATATAACTACAAGATTCCCTTTGCCTCTCCTTGGCTGGGTTCACTCATTACGTGGAGCAAATGGTGGCTAGAAGTGACCAATAGCTTAAGTCAAAGGCAAAAATAAGACTTCTACTTAGGCTGAAGGCTTTCCTCCTGTTGACCCCGTAACCTAGTAAGTTCCTGATTCTCCTGACTTTGTGAGTCGTTGGTGCACATGTATCACTTGTCCCCTCACGAAGCTTTATTGTGGGTAGCATTTTAGTATATGTGAAGCAAATTCCTTAGCCATTCATTTATTTAAAGGATTGTCACCAAAACCCTATAAGAAGAGTTACCATTTTTATCTCTGTTTTACTCACTGCCATAGAGCCTTTGCTTAATACAGTGGCTGATCCAAAGCCACTGAACACAGTGGACACTCAATAAATGATCTGTGAAGTGAAGAATCTTCTATCTTTTCAATATGAGTTAAAAAAATGTGGTTGAAGCGCCATGGCCTATCACAGCCTGCTGTGTTATGGCGAGTGTGAGGGAACATTCCACCCTCTCCGTGGGCTTTCTCCTGGAACTGGCAAGGGATGGAGCAATCTTTCTCCCTTCCTTGGAGAAAATGACTGTCAGTGGTGGGAAGCCACAGGAGAGCAAACATGACAAATCTGTTTGGCTCAGGCTTTCTCTCTGGCTTCTTGTCAACCAAAAGAGGACCAAATGCTTTCCAAAGGACAGGAAGGTGAGGATGGTCATTATGTGCAAATAAGTAAACAGGAATAGAAATTTTAGCAAAGCTCGTGCTTCTCTGGTCAGAAACAAACTTTTAGGTGTAGAAAAAAGAGCTTTGACGGTCACTGGATCCAACCCATCACCAACACGGCAGCCCCTTGAATAACACCGGACTCGGTGAACCGACCCTCCTTCCTCTCTGTGGGAGGCACTGTGCCAGGCATGTTACATGCCTCTGCTCTTTTCATCCTGGCAGTATGTCTATGAGGCAGGGCTTACAAAACTCATTTCACAGAAGAGGAAACTGAGACTCAGATGGTTAAGTAAATCCCTAATGGGGAGCAGAATACAAAGCCAGGCAGTGAGCCAAGCTTTGAAGCAATGAATGGTGGGTTAAAATACCAGCTATACAGCTTCTCACTGTGGCACCTACTGTCCTGATACCTACTTCACAGGGGTGCTAGAAAATCCAAATGGGATGAGATATTTAATAGCTGCTCACAAATGTATTAGCTCTGTTCTGAAACATAAGGAGGAATTAACAGGGAAAAGCTTGGGAGCAGGAGGCATTCGAAGCCAGAACTGCTGAGAGAGAATGTGAATTACAAGGACAAGGGTTTTGAGTGCGATGGAAGAGCAGCGAGTGAGGAGGCTGGCAAGTAGAACCCAGATAATAAAGAGTCTTGTATATGACTTTCAGGGAATTGAACTTTATTCTGAAAGAGATGTGGAGCCATGAAAGAATGTTAAGCAAACAAATGAAAGTTGTCTTTGGGGAAAACTGCTGTTTAGAGTCACCGATATTATCCATCTGTCTGTGCATACATCCATCTGTCTGATCATCCATCCATCCATTCATAGAATAATTACTGACTGCCTGGTCTGTGTCCAGTGTTGGGGTAGTCCCTAATGGGTTTCTGCAGACAGGGAGCTTCTAGTCTAGTGAAACCAGCTAGTAAACAGCTGTACTCGTGCAGACAATCCCCAACTGTGCCTTGGACAGGGGGAACTTCAGAGGAGATGAGGACGAATCAGGGGCCCTAAGGAGGCAAAATGGACACAGCTGGGACATTGATTAGCTGTGTGGTGGGGCAGCAGGGAAAAGGGCTGAGAAAAGGAAAGGACAGGGAGAAGGAAGGAAGGAGGAAGGAGGGAAGGAAGAAAAGCACAAGGTACTGTTACTTCATGATTAATACATATCCTTCCGTACATATGGCAAACTAAATGAAAGTCACACATGTATATACATTGTCCACTAGAAATGAGGCACATGTGTGAAATGTGGTTTTACATATTTATGCTGATTGAAATTTACATTTATGAAGATCTCTATAGACACCTATTATATATCTTTGTGTATAGACACTGCAGCTGTTGACATAAATAGAGTCATAAAAATTCAGTGCCAAGTTTTTTCCAGATGAATACTTCAGCACACCTGAAATATTCTGGGTGGAAAAATGGGGAAAAGACTCACAAATAAGAAAAAATGAAAAACAGCTAGTGCATGGATTAATCCTCATGGAAAACAAATCAGTTACAATGCAAGTTAATATGCTTGCATAAGTGATCTTAATTTAGGATTTTGAATCGATCAGGTCTAGCTATCGAATTCCTGGGCCACAAGCATACCATGGTATGAAATGTCTCAGCCAATATTCGCTTATGAAATATAGTTTTTGCTCAAGAGGTAGTACAACAGGGTTTCTTGTGAGTATGACCACTTTTTGTGGCCAAAGGCAAAAATTTCTGTGACTGTATTTATCTAAAGTTCATAGAATGGAGTTAATGGAACATATGTGCAATAAATATGTTAAATAAAGAATATTCGACCTTGTTAGTATGGGGTTAAATAAAGAATTTACAGCTCCATGGAATATTAGAACTGGGAAGGACATTTATTCTGTGGGTAAGATGCTATCATCTGAGAAGCTAAGTGACTTACTCAAGGGCCCCGTTTACACTGATGGCCAGGTTTGGACCAAGATTCAGTCCTCTTGATCACCCCCACCCCTTGCTCTTTCCCCAACCCCAAAGATGTATCTGGCATCGCTCATGGTTTGGGGAGTTTTATGTTAGTTTGGGAAGTCCAAAAACTTAAACACGCAAAGATAAATAGGATGAAAATGAGTTGAGAAATAAATTGCAGAGTTTGGCTCATGGAAAAGTTTATTTCTTCAAGGATATTAAAAGGGTTTGAGCCAAATGGATCACAGAGCCTGTAATAGGATGCTCTAAAAAAAGAACTGTGTCTTTTCCTGGCTTTTATGTACTAAATTTACATATCCTGAAGGAAAACCCAGGGCTGCTGGGTTTCCTTGGAGGCCTGAGTCAGCTCAGAGAACCAGGGGCTCAGCATTTCTGGCTGAAATCCTTCTGCACACCGTGCTTTAAGAGGGTCAGGGACGAACCAGAAAAAGACTTGACCAACAGACAGCTTGGCTGGCTGGAGGTGTGGGGAGACATCTGGGAATCTCTTCGTGCACACAACTGGTGGAACAGACCGAGATGATCTACACCAGAGAACTGTCAGCAGAGAGCCCCACACGGCTCTCAAGTCCATGACTGCTCTCCATTCTCACTGCCGCTCACCTCCTCCAGGCCACCTCCATCCCTCTACTGGATTCTTGCAACAGCCACCTAGCTGCTCCCCTTCCTGCCCCAGGCTCTTTGCACAGGGCGCTCATGCAAACTTTATAATGTGAACATGTCAGTGTAGCCCAGCTCCCTGCTGAGGCTCATGGCATCTCCTCGCTGCCCTCAACGTGAGTCAAAATCTGTCCTCACCGGATCATCATGCATCTCCACTAGTCGAACCTCCCCACCCCATACCTTGTTCTTTACACTCCCAATCCATTTAAGCTCTTACAGAATTACTGAGGAGCTTCTGTGTATGTGGGTTATATCTATGAGTAGTCACCGTATTGTAAATTAAAACTGAGAAACTGTGAAACAGAAGAACACAGAAGCACATGTTCATGAGCTCTCAGAACAGTAATAACATCACATTTCATGAAGCCACTGGAAAGCTCTGGTAAATTTCAGGAGAGAATGAGAGTGAAGAAGTCAAACAACGTCACAGTATGATTATGAAAATAATTTTGGACTTTGAGGACACCCTCAAAAATCTCCAGGAACCTCATAAGCTTCCAGATCACACTAAGAAAACCACCCCTCGAAGCATACCAAACTTCTTTCACATTCTCAAATGTGCCCCGCTCACTGGTGGGGTACATTCCTGGTCACCTGCGTCTCAGTTCTGGGTGAGGTCCCCTTCTTGCTGGTCCCCAGTACTCTCTACTTCCATATGCAAGGGCCTCATCACACCTGATGGGAACCACCCACCACAATGACCTTTGACTCCCCTGTTCGAAGGTCAGCTCTGCCTTGCCTGTGCACCTGGCACACGGTTCCTACGGTGGTCACAGATGAGATGGGGTCACCCTCTGCACTTACACAAGTATTGTCAGGCGGAGGAGACACACACCTCCTTCTCTGAGAATCCAACAGGGGTTTGGCTTGGGTGGAAAAGTCATGATTGCAGGTTTCAGGAAGATCTTTCTAACAAATGCAGCTAGAACACGAAGGCCAAGGAATGAGCTTGGGGCTATGACAGCCTCAGTGAGAGGGACATGAGGGGGACTCCCACGCTGGCCGGGATCTGGGGGCTGGAGGACCCCAGGGGTCCTACCCCAGCCTGAGGGCTCGTGATTCTGTGAAGCCGCACTGAGCGTTTCTCCCAGACATCCCCTCTTGCTTTACATTCCAGGTGGATTTGTTTAGAGTTGCGAGTTAGACTCTCATTTTTATTTTAAGCTACTTTAGAAGATAAAGTATAGTGCTGCCATTTTTCTCCTTCACTTTCCTCTCTGATCCTGCTCCCTTGCTTTATCTCTGGCTTTTTCTTTTCAGCTTTCTTTTGTAAAAATAAAAAAGAAAACAGAGGAGTTCTCACTGAACCTTGGGGCAGAATTAGGTTCCGCTCCCTCGGACAGACTGGGGCCCCCGACCGGGAACTGCTGGCCAGGGCTGGCCTCCATAGGCACAAGGGGGATGGGGGTGCCATTCAAAGTGCATGTCTCTAAGGGCAAGTAAGGGCAAGACAGAACACTGGAAGGAGAAGTGGGGGGTGGGGGGCTCTGCCAGCCTTGCCTCAGGGACTAGATATGAGCCCTGCAGAAAGAGACATCGCAGAAGGAAAGGGAACAGGTGACATTCCATGAGATTCTCTACGTTTCAAGCAGCTGTTGGCAGGGCCCAGTGACAGTGCCATGAAGTGTTGGCTGAAAGACATGGCTCATTCTAGAGAAAACCTCATGGATCGGGAGTGAATGGCAGAGACTGCTGGCCCCTTGGCGGCCTGAGAGACACCCCTGAGTGGGGAAGGGTCTGGTTTAGGGTGGAACCCACGTTAGCAGCAGTGATGAAGTTCTCTCAAGAAACTTGCTGATGAATGGACCCCAAACAAGAACTAAAGGCTACTGATATCTTGAAGTCCCCAAACATGTATATTGATTCCAAGGTGACCTTGTTTGTACCCATAGGTTGTCAGGGTCTGCAGGCATATGTAAACACACACACACACACACGCACACACACCCTTGTCTTCATCGGGTGTGTGGCGATGAGCACTTGTTTAATATTTCAGCACTCTGTTTCCTTGTATGCAAAGTGGGACGACATACCCAGGGCAGTGCAGGCTCTCAAAAGAAGTGTTGAATCAATACATGAATACTGGCCTTCATGCTGGGTCAAGGGTATAAACTTCTAGTTATATATGAATAAATTCTGGAATTCTAATGTACAGCATGGTGATTATAATTAACAATACTTTATTGTATACTTGAAAATTGCTAGAGAGTCGATCTTAAATGTTTTCACCAAAGGAAAAGAAAAAGTGTGAGATGACAGATGTGTTAACTAACCTTATTGTAGTAATCATTTCACAATACATATATATATATCAAATCATCATGCTGAATACTTTAACTTATACATTGTTACATGTCAGTTATATATCAATAAAGCTGGGGAAAAAAAAGACTGGTCTTGCAGGGTGATCTTAAGATCAAATGAGGTCATCCATGGAAAAGCCCAGTAAAATCATAAAACTCCATCTATACTGGAAGAATTGTTCTTTGTACACCAAACCTGCAAATGAGCTCCCAGGTCGGCTTACCTTCTGCTTCCCGAGGACTCCAGTGTCCAGAGGGACCACAGGGCATTGGGGAGGAGGCGTTAAAGGCATACTGCACCAGGATTCTCCCTTCCAGGCAAAGGTCACATGCTGATCCCAATTCTCTAGGAGGCCAAGGAAAGAAGGAAAATGCACCGACTTAGGAACAGTTGAATAAATTGCTGACTCTACTAGGCCAAAGGCACAGGGCAGTGAACCCAATTCCATGTTACTGCTACCGTCCTTGTCCTTATCAAATCTTCCGAAATATGACCTTCCCTGAAATTCCTCCCCATGGTCCACCAAGGACACTGTGTGCGCCTCTGTGAGTTCTGGTTACTTCTTTAACTTCAAGCAGCACAGAACCAATAGGCCAAAGACTTATTACCTGCCCTGATTTCAATTTCACCAGGCATTCAAGACTCTGCTGAGGATTTGAGGTGTGGTTGTAAGAAATGTTACCCCATTTGACCTCAAATTTTATTCTCTTAACAATATTTCTCAGGTGCCTCCCATGTGCCAGGTGCCAGCCTGTGTCCTAGGTATTAACTGGGAAGAAGGCACGGTTATGGTTCAGTTCCTTCAACTGAAAATGACTGGGCTGACCCAGATGATGCCTAAGCACTTTCCAGCCCTGACATTCTGGGGATGGATGAGTCACTCCTTGGTTTAATAGTCAAAAACAGTTTCCTTACCATGACATCTAATTCATCTTAGCAGCTTTCTAAGGGGCAAGCTAATCCCTCAAAGGGACCAGCCTCAGAAGTGGAATATGATGGTGGCTTCCCCAACCATCTAACATCTCATGTGTCTGGATTCAATCTCTCTTTAGCCACAACAGCCTCTGGGATCCTGCTTGTTCCTCAGACTTGGAATCGGTTTAGGAGGCAGTTGCTGAAGGGAGAGGAATGAACCCTCTCCTCATGTACTAGTGTGGATGTGAAACTGCCAATCTGAGTGACCCCTGCAGAGGGACTAGAAAGGAAAGGTATCAAGCAGTGTCCCAGCCCCATCCAGTATTTGTCAAGATGTAGTGGGCATGCCAATACCTGTTTTATCATTCCTAGAAGAATCTCTATCCTATGCTGACCTGAGAGACTCATGGAAGAGCCCAACCTCCAGCCCTAGGGGCTTTCCCTTCACAGGGAAGCACTGTAGCCCCTGGGCTCACATGGCAAAAGGAAAAGAACGTTTGTGAGCATCCCAGTCTACGGGTGCCACCCATTCCTCCTCCACACAGCTGCCAGGGAGCTCATTCCTGAATCTCAATCTGGACAAGTCTTGCCCCTGATTATCTGCCATATGGTGGTTAACATAAGTAGATGGATGGATGGATGGATGGATGGATGGATGGATCAATGAGTCACTTACACATGGGGCTAATATTCATGAATAACCTAACTTAGACCCTCAAATGGCAGACTCTGCATCCTCAGCTTTATCACTGTACATATGAAACCATGCATAGGTAGGAATTTTGCAAGCAACACTAATATTCAGTGATAGGAGAATGATCAAATAACCTAAGGTTAATCTGTTCAATGGAATGGTAAGTAGTCATTACAAAAACATTTTAAAAGATTATGATTTCAAGAAAAATATATAAGCTATAATGCTAAGTGAAGAAGTTATAGTCAAAACTGAATCTATAGCAGCATCTCAATGCTGTCAAGATAACTTTAATGTGACAAAGTATTGTCGGCAGTTATTTCTGGGTGGTGGAACACAGAATGATTTCCATCCCCCTCCCCCCCTTCACACACAATCATACTCCTTCTGGTTTTCTGAATATTCTATATATTTTTAATACATAGGAACTACTCCTGGAAATACAATAATAATCATTATACAAATATACTTGTAGGCAGGGAACGAGGAGTGGAGAGAGAGACTTCCTCAGCACCACTCTGGAGAGCAGAGTTCCATTACAATGACCACAATCCGCGCAGAGCAGCTCAGTCACATGACTGGCTTTGACGACAATGAGATTACAAACTTCCTGAGATGAAATCAGGAACCACACTGACCTTAATGGCCATTGAGCCTTTCTTTTAATTTCTTCAGATGCTTTGTTTTAGATGATACACATATAATCACATGTACTTCCTCGGTTCCTAGGAATCTAGGTTTTGACACATCCTAGGTTCCCAGTGAATACTTTGATGAGTGAATAAACCATCGTGCACCTGACAGTAAATGTGCCTTGTTTGCACAGAGTTTCACCAAGTGCACTCCCTCATGTCCATTCACTGATTCACGTGTTCATTCTTTGTTTCATTTATTCATTCAATAGATAGTTATTGAACACGCTCTGCTGCTAGCACTGTACATTGATCATCCATTGGTCAATAAATTAGATGTGGAATTTGCCCTCACAGAGCCTGCAGTCCAGTGGAGGCAACAGACCTTAAACAAACAGGCAAACAGACATAAAATTACAGAGTCAGTTAAGTTTTAGAAGGAAAGGAAATGGATAATATGGAAGAGAATAATGGGGGCGGGGACTGGGTTAAGATTAGAGCGGTCAAGGGAGACCTTAGTGAGGAGATGTCATTTATGGTCAAATCTGAAGGATGACAAAGAGAGTGGATGTGAAGTTTTCCTGGTGCAGTCTCAATATAAAGGACCTAGGCAGGAAAAGAGGGTTTGGTTCATAGGGGTCCTGAGGCAATTAAAAGTGAAGGAAAGAGCAGTAAGAGAGGCAGTTGGGCAAGTAGGAAAGGGCCAGGTCATGAGAAGGTCCTGTAGACCACATGTAGATTGTACATAAAAGTAATGGGAAGCCACTGGAGGGTTGTAAGGCATGCAGTGACATGCTCTAATACACATTTTTTAAAAGGTCAGTCTAAATGCTGAATGAAGAATGGATGTGGGCACCAAGGGCAAAGTAAAAGCAAAATCAGCGACTAAAAGCAATGGTGTAATTCTGGGTATGATGGTAATGTTCCCATTTTATAGATTAGGAAACTGAGAATCATGAATACAAAGTACTCATGCCAAGGTCATAATTTGGAAAGTCACAGAGTCAATATGGGCTTTACCAAAATCAGGCAGTATGTTATGCCTCCAGGAAGTATATGTGTTTCTTGCCTTTGACATTAATTTGATTTTTATGGGCACCTGAATCTACACACACACACACACACACACACACACACACACTGAAATCATAGAAGTACAGATGCTAACACTGGAAGAGACCATCTTTCTAATGCAAGTCCCATGAGAATCAAAGCTTAAAGCTCTAAGTTTGTGCTGTCCAAGCACATACAAGCCACATGTGTCTACTTTAAATAAGATAAAATTTAATAAATTTAGATATTCAGTTCCTCAGTGCATACATAGGACATTTCCATTATTGCAGAATCCCCCTGGACACTGCTTCGCTAAGGCATGCACTGCCTATCATGAATAACTTCTCTCTGGTACATCTAGAATGACACTAGTTATGTACCATCCTTGGGAAAACTGAGAAACTAGTTCTTCAAGTCATGCTCTGTGTTCTGAGATTTGGAAGAGGCACGTTGGTTGAGAAAGGCTAGTTCCCCTTTGGCTTACAGATCAGAAAACTGAGGTGGGAGAGGAAATGGATAGGTCACAAGGATTTCAGACCCAGATCACCTGACTCCCAGTCCAGCACTCTTTCCACTACACCACAAGCCATTGTTCAAATAACTGAAACCATCCAGTCAACACATGTTTGCAAGACAGATGAAAATCAAGGAGTTAGAAAAGCCAGGGGTGGCCGTGAATTATTTATTCAGTTGCCCATGTGTGAGGACACAGGCTGTGGGAGGATCTGGATGTGTTTTTTTAAGGAAAACCCTTGTATTCTCTTAGACCACAGATGTGAGGCACAGCAGGAGGACATGAGGATACCCAGGGGCGAGAGGTTGGCATTGATGGATGTAGTGGAAAACACCAGAGATTTTGCAGGGAAAGAGAATTTTCAAGTAGCCAAACAGCTCTGGAAAGCTGTGCAAGATGGGAACTTATACTGCTCGAACATACAGTGTGTGTGTGCTAGGCATATCCTAGATATCATCTTGTTGAGTTCCCCACAAAAGCCAGGTGAGGTAGGCGCAGTTAGCGCCTTGTTATGGAAGAAGAGTCAGAGGGTCAGAAAGGACCAGAGAGGCGAGAGGACTCGCCCAAGGTCCCAGAGACTAGGAGTGAGGGTGAAGCTGAGAAGGCGACACTGACAACCTGGCATCAAAGCTTGTGCACTTCGTGCTAAGCCTGTTTGTATGAATATAAACTGCGTATGGGAGAGTGAGAGCTCTGTTTCTTTACAATTTATTGAACTTGTGGCTCAACTTCCTTTTGCTATAGACTATGGTCTACGTAGCTGTTAACCCTAATTAGACATGTTTCTAAAATGTCAGTTTTAATTTAACATATGATAACTCTGTTATGAAATCTTAGACTAAACAGAATAGCTATTGTGTGAGCCTCAAGTACCAACTGACTATAGGTTATTAAAAACATATTGATTGAAACTGAGGGCACTATGTAGTAGAGACATATCTCATTACACAACAATTAACCCTCCAATAGGTTTTCAACAATCAGATGGTATTTATTTAATAGACAATAACTGCTTTATGAAATACAAATTGAATACATACACAGGAAGCTGCATTTATAAAACTCCCATTTTTAAGTGGAATCGAGGCCAAGGCTTGACCAAAAGTCTGAGACTTCTCACTGCTACAGAAAAAATAAATCAATCCACGGGCTGCTGGAAAACCTGCTCTGATGTGTCACATGAGGTTTCCCAAACCCAGCCCTGAGCTCCCAGTGAGGGTGGCTGGGGCAGGAAAGCGGGGGGGTTTCTACAGAGATCCTAGGGAGTGCGTTTCCATCCCCCATAGTTACATTCATGCAGCTGCCAAATGAAGGTTCTAGATTCAGGGACTGACGGCAGGGTGGAAAGTTAGAGCCATATTTAATGCAGTGCCTACAAATGATCTAATATATTTTTTATACCTGCATACAAAACACACACACGCACACATACCTATGCACACTCATAAGCAAGAGCTCCTTGCCACCTTTTGTTGCTCTTTGGAGGGGAGGGTGCTCTTATGAACACCTCCCTCACAACTCAAGTTTTGAAAGGACTTAATGAAATTACACGGGAGTCAGCAACAAGACATGCAAAATATGAGTCACAGCCTGGCTCCTACCACCTTCCAAGGGCTCCTGGTCAAATCTCTAAGCCAATTTGAGCTCCAATTCTTGCCTTATCCAGCAAATGAGGAACATGATTTCCCCTTGTATGGAGTTACTGGAGAGAGCAAATAAGTCTCAGTATATGAAGCATTTAGTACAGCATCCACCACAGAGTAAGTGCGGGAAACACAGCAGCTACCACCACGGAGTAATATTACTTAATCATCAGCTGGTTATTATTTTCTCCACCATCAATGTTATACCATCACTGTTGGATAAATGGCCCTCAGGACAGGGTTGGTAATGTACAAAATTAGCCCTAAATTACAGCCAAGTTCCAAAATATATGTCAGTATCTTAGTCTGTTCTCATGACCCTTTAAAATTTGGTTCCCTTAAAGTTTGAGCTCCTCACGGGCTCTCGATGCTAAAAAGGTACCATAAGAGACCATTTGATTCAAGTTTCCACCTTTAAGCCACTGAAGTATCATTAGACCCACTTTTCATGGGAGGAAAATAAGACTCAGAGAGGGAACATGACTCGTGCAGAGCCACACAGCTAGTAAGTGACAGGCAGGGGAGCAGAACTGAGGCATCCTGTGCCTATGCCTCAGTGTGTCACTCCCTGGTCTTCAAAAAGTTCTACCTTCAGTTATACAAAGAAACACTGGGCACAAAGATTGTAATGATACATATTACATATGTATGTTCATTCATGTATAATGTATGAATGTGCACATATGCACACATATAATACACTTTCATATTTAATACATATGTACAATGTGTTTATGAAGGTATTTGCCCATTAGCCAGAGGCAATTCCACCTCCTGCTCATGGAGATGAGACCAGTACTACCATCCCAGAGGAAGTTCTGGCAATAGAGGTTTTCCAGGTTTTTAATAATAAAATAAAGCTAGACAATCATTCATTTATTTGTTGTATGAGCCTCAAGTACTAACCATAGGTTATTAGAAGCATATTAATTCAAACTGAGAGCGCTATGTAATAGACATATCTCATTCCCTAACAATTAAACCTCTAACAGGTTTCCAATGACCAGATGGTATTTATTTAATGCACAGAAACTTCTTTCGATCATTCACTTACTCCCTGATTCCCAAAGTCACGCTGTGCCCATAAGGCCCAGCCACTGTGCTTAGGTGGTGGGGTGCCCGCTGAGCAACAGCGGGGACAAGGAACACAGCAAATCCCTCTCCGGGGTGACTTCCCTTCCCAGTTACCCTCTTCTTGGCAGGAGAAAGAGAAAGGGATCAACATTCCTCAGGCCACACTCACCTTTCAAAGAAGTGGCCATCGATGGGCGGGAACCACTCTAGCGTCACAGAGTCGGTCGTGTGGCCCACAATCTGGGGGGCGAGGGCGACAGGCGCCGGCTTCCTGGAGGGCTGCCAGCTCTGGTACACCAGGTCCAGGTAACAGTGCATTCTGGCGACTTGATTGGGCGTGAAGGAGTCAGTGCAATCGTCATCTGCAGGTGGGCAGAGGGAGAGATAAGGAACTGGCTGCACGGGCGGGCATGCGAGAGAATCATGACGTCTCCTGGCGGCTGGAGAGCCAGCACCCCAGCCCTTGCCAACTCAGGGCTGGCTACTTCCAGTGCTCAAGAGTTAATGGTCTGTGAACAAATTAGTGTAGTCATCACTTCTGGAGACAGGTGAGGGGGAACAGGAGGAAGGGGAGGGTGGATGGAGCTGAAAAAATAAGTCTGAGACTGGAGAAGGAGCAGCTCAGAGGTCATGGCTAAGGACAAAGACAACACAAGCTGCTTTTCATGGGCCCCAAACCCCCAGATTGGTCAGCCACACATCCCCTATTCCATCTCTCCATCCCCATGCATTCGATGTCTCTCATTCATTCATTTACTTGTTTACTCACTCACTCATTCACTTATTCATATTTACTTATTCACTCATTCATTAATTCTGCTGTGTACTGAGCAGTGATATTGTCCTTCAAAGAAACTTTCTCAGCATCTATGACATATTCTTTATTCTGTGCCAAGAGCCATGGAAAGCTGAAACTTACAATGTTCCTGCCCTTGAGGCGTTTCTAGTCTAGTTATAGAGTGAAGGGCAGTTTGTCATATGCATCAAGGTGGTTATAAGGCTGTTAAAGTCTACGATGCTGACAACGGAGAACAGAAGACAGTATGCTGGGGAAGCAGGGTGACCCAGGAAGGCTTTTGAAGCAGCCCTCATGGCTAAGACTGGGAAAGACAGCTGAGCGGCTGCAGGAGAGGGGTCTGCAGACCTCAGGGCGTGGTGTCCTGTGCAGTGATCACAAGCCGGAGACTCAGGCTGCCCTGAGAACAGCCCAGCTCCATGCCCCTGCTGCTGGGATGCAGACAGACACCTTCGGCACCATACTGTCACTGGGACATTTATTGCGTGCTCAGGGTGAGCTAGGCATGGTGCGCTGTGCCCTGACATGTTTAACCCTCCCACTCTTTTCAGACTAAATACTATGGTTTTCTCCATTTTACAGGGGAGGAAATTTGAGTTTGAGAGAGTTCAAGCAACTTTTTTAAGATCACAGAGCTAGAGACAGATTGGAGATTCTAATTGAAGCAGTGTCGACCCCAAGGCCATGTTTCATATCAATATGAGAACTTCTTTTCTGAGTGTAAATGAGACCCTGTATGGGTAAAGTATCCTGCAGGTGCTTGATAAACAGGAGTCAAGCCTGAGTCTGAGTGGGCTGGAATGCAGTCTTTTAAATGTCTTTAGATCTAATGACCTTCAGCTCTGTTCTCTTTTCCACTACATGGACTGAAGGCCGTGACCCAAGGCCCGCCTCCCAGGGAAGAAGCTTGCCTCCCATCCCTCCCTCCAGTGGCTTTATTCAGCTGTCCCAGGGGCAGTGCAAGGCACTGTTTTGGCTTGGTTTCCCAAAACACCACTTCCCAGAGGTGTCTGCCTGGTCAGGATTTCTGCAGCTGGGCCCCGGACAGAGGAGCATGGGGCTCACCAGATCTTAAAATAAACCTGCCACTGGGAATTCTGCAGCATAAACTCACTTCCCCTTATCAAACAAACAGAAAATAAGTTCGGGCAGGTGCTGGGCAGTAGGATGTGACCTTGAGAATCCAGCTTGGGGGAGGGACAGGGTGCAAAGAGGTTATACACAGAAGCCGCCTCTGATTCCCCTAGTAATTTTTGACAGTCTCCTTTCCAGCATCCCGGGGAAGTCTGTCATACATCTGGAGGAAGCAGAAGAGCCTGGTGTCCCTTACAAAGCCCTGTAAAAGAGTGACTAGTTGCATAAATCTCTCAAGCCCAGACGCCACCATGTAACTCCGACCAAACATTCTACGGTTCCTGACTGCCTGGAGAACAGAGTCCAAACATCTCAATCTAAGAAGGGCCACATCATCAGGTACATTTTTCTTTGTTAGTATGATCTTTGCACTGCATCCTAAAGCCTTGGAAAAGCCACGGAATAGTTTAGAGGCAGGAGAAAGGATAATTGCTAAGGAGGTATGGCCATACATACATATAGTTAGATTTGTGCATGAAGGATCTGGAGTCAAACGGGCACGTGAATTCATGTCCTCAGTGCCTCAGTTTCCCCATCTATAAAGCGATGATGATGATAACAAGAGTGCTCATCCCAGGACATGTCAAAGGGTTAAGGGGAATGAAGCACCAAGAGCCCTGATAAATGCTTCCTGCCTCAAGGTTGGGAGTAGTGCCTCTGTGTGTGCGCACACCTGTGTGTGGGAGTGTTGGAAAACTGGATGCAGGAGAGAAATCCTATGTAAAATGGTCATTCTCTCTGAGCTAGCAATAGCACATTTAGGAAACCAATAGATAGATATTCATGAACAAACATGGGGAGAGTATATGTTCAGGTATGTTTTTTGAAGCATCATTTATAACAGTAAAAATATTAGAAATAACACATCTGTTTTTGACTAGGGGAATGGCTGTACACATTAAGGCACGGGCACAGAATACAATCTGAATCAATCATATCCATAAGAAAGAAGTAACTCTAAAACTCCAGTCCCTCCTGTATAAATTGGGGACATTTAAATCAGCCTCACTACATAAAGTTGTTGTAAGGATTCAATGACCTACAGCACATAACGCATTTATCAAGATGGACAAGAAAAGCAGCATACACGCTGATTTGTTTGCCCTTCTCCCCCTAAATAATGTGTATTTCCTTCTGTAACATAAAAATTCCTCCAATAAAAAAAAGAGTTTAAATAAAAACAGATGATAGAGGTGAGAGAACTTGGTAGGGGAACAGGAATTTATCTGAACTTTAAAGCTGAAGTCAGAAATGTCTGTCCCTTAGACCTCACTTCGAGACCTAGCTGCTACCAGCATCTTAGTTGAGGTACCAAAGGGCTTCTGTTCATCACACATGCTCTGTCTCAATCAGCTAGTGTCTAGAGTCAGCCCCTCCTGGCTTCCTTCCTGCACACGCTTCCCCTCCTGGCATCTGATCCTGGTCTCCAAGACCAGCCAGCCCTTCTTGTTCTTCTGCTTCCATCTTGCCCCTAAGCAAAAGGTGCTTTAGGGCTTCGGCACTGGACGAGCCCACACCAGCCCTTATGTTGCGGATGTACCGAGTTTGCTAACTGAACGCGGCTCTCAGGGACACATTTCGCACTCTAGTGGGGAAGCCACAGAGCGGGGAGGTTCAAGACAAGGACTCGGTGCCACCCTTCCCTGTAGAACCTTGGGCAAAACACTAACCCCTGACATTCCACCCACTGTAAAATAGGGAATAATGATGCTAATTGCCTCCTAAGGCTGATGAGAACATTCAACAAGCTAAATATCTTGTGCATGGATAATTGAGCTGCCCTTTGTAAAAGTCCTTGCTGTTTTTGTTTTTAAAAAGATACTAATAGTAATAGTAATAATGAATATATATACTGTAGAACATTTAGAATATTCCAGAATATCACCCTCAACTCATTACCTAGGGACAATACAGTTAATATTTATTTAGTGTATATGTATATAAATATCTATAACCTCATCATCACAAACATATACATCATATATATACATATATGCCAGGTCTTAACTCTATACATAAGGTGGGGACTACATTCACATTAAATAGTTAATAAATAATCATAGTAATTGTCATTTATTGAGCACTGGTTATGGTACCAAGGACAGTTCTAAGTCCTTCCCCTGTATGATTACACCTCCAATCACACAAGGGAAATGTGATGATGTTCCGTGGCACTGATGAAGTACAGGGGCTCAGGGACAAGTGACTCAACCAGGGTCAAAGCTAGTGCACAGAAGTCTCACATTCAGTCCTATACTCTAAACTTCATACTCTGAGCCACTATATGTCCCTCCAGCCTCATCTACATCCTCTGAAGTGGCCACGTAATGTTCTATCACATGGGCGCCTTGTGATTGATTTCTGCAATCCATTCTCTTTGGACTCATAAGGAGTTTTTTATAATTTTTCACACACAAGAAAGCATTTTTCTTCTATGCCTGGCAGACAGTAAAGACCTAATTAGTATTTGGAGAATGAACATTGCCAAGAACATTCTTAAGACTCAATCTTTCAACAGATCAACTGACTCATTCCCTGAGAACATAATGCTTAGAGGTGAGTTTGCTGGGTCAGTGTAGGGGAAAGGGCCCTGACACACAGAAGATGATGCCGAGACACTGCTCCTGTAGTCTGGAGAAGGTCAGGTTTCTGCACCCCTGAGGAAGACTGGGGATTGCTCTTGGCTGGTCCGCGTGGCCTGTTATCTTCATGAAGTGGAGTCCAGGCTGCTGCCCTTCCACCTGCCCAAGGCTTCTCAATCAGGACCTGGTGCTCACTAGCCTTGCCCCCATCATTTGCCTTGTGTACCTGCTTGATCTGAGCACTTGGGAGCCTCTCAACCTTCCCCACTATCAGCAAGGGAGCCAGGTCGGTACTGATTAGTAACATGGACTGTTCACTAAGAAAGCTTGCCTTGTTTTTTCTGTGTGACCCTGTGCAACTTACTCGGGCTTCCTAAACCACACTTTCTACATCTGTAAAATGGGTTCTGATGATAATAGCACTGACCTCCTTGGGTTATTTTGAGGATTCTGTGAGACACGGTCATGACGCGTTTCACATGGTGTCTAGCATATTATATATAGGTATTCAATAATTATTGTAGACCTGTGCTCACCAGTACAGTTGCTACCAGCCATGGGTGGCCATTTCAATGTAAATTAATCAAAATGATGTAAGACCAGCAATTCAGTTTCTCAGTCTCACTAGTTGGATCTCAAGCGCTCAAGAGCCACATATGGTTAATGGCTGCCAAACAAGGGCGTGGCTCCAGAACCCGGTCATCTTTGCAGCAAGTTCTATCAGACAGCATTGCACTAGATGCTTTACCCAACCAGTGACCAGGCCCGAGGAAAAAGCACCCAGGAAGGAACGCGAAGCCGTGGACCACCAAGGTCTCCACCCTCTTGCCCCGACTGCAGAGCCCCTGTGCACCCCCTTCCTGGCCCTGAGAGCCCAGGCCTGTTCTGCATTTTGAATCTCATCCAGCTGCTTTTGTCACCCCATCTATCAGAGATCCTAAGCAAAACAAACATTTCAAAGCTCGTGGTCGCCTTGAATATGCTTTTGTGGGTGTAAGTTTGTTATCGTAGCACAGTGAATTAGTTCTGCTGTTAATGGGTCACTGAGCTGAGGGGTTCCTTTAAAAAAACAACAGTAAATCAATCACCCTTTAGATCTGTACAAAGGAGAACAAAAAAAAAAGATTTAGTTTATGGGGGTCTGGTAGCTAGTGGCAGCTCCTAGGCCCCTAAGAGTCCGGCAAACTTCCAAACTCATGTTATTGTTTATTTTCCATGGGCGTTGAGCTGGCCAAGGAAAGGTGCTACAGAAATGGGATGTAAGCAGGGTTGTGTGAGGGGACGGGGTACCGGATGTGGGGTGTCAGCTTGGCTGGGAATGGGAGCCCAGTGGGAATCTGCTTTTGAGGAAATACCCAGCACTCTGGTCTTTTTTTAGAGAACTAAATAAATCTAAAGACCCTTTATGGTGTCAAGGGTGGGTTACCAACCCTTCAAGACCTCAAGTTGGAACTGTATTAACTCAAACTGGAGAGGCCCCCAGAGGTCATGAGCCCAAATAGGAAAGCAGGAAGACCCACTGGAGATCAGTGAGTCTATTGGGCTGGTTTTAGTAGCAAAAGCTTCCCTTCAAATGCAGTCTAAGGCAAAACCCGACAGAAATGAGAGACAACTGGAAAGGGGTTTCCCTGGTGGAAGCAGAGATGGAGGCCTAGAACCCCACTCACACAGATTTGCAGGACAGACCCCTGAGACAGCTGTGTGCCACAGCCTATGAAAACCACCCAGGTAGTTCAATTTCCCGCTCACCCAGCATTTTGAAAAGTGGCACATGAAGAGAAAAGAAAAAAGGCCTGGAGTCAGATATGGGGCCTGGAGCAAATGAGTTTGGTGAGCCTCAGTATCAGCATCTATAAAATGGGGGTAGTTCCTACCCCATAGATTTGTTGTAGGAACTCAGTGAGATGCTGTGTTAAAAGTCCTTTATGAACAATGAACTTTCATACAAGTAGAAATGTTGTTATTGATAAGAATCAATTTATACACGTGGTATAAGAAAATTGATTCATTTTCTTTGCCCACTGTCTCTCTCCCTCCCTTTCATCTTAACAAGTATTTGTTAAGCACCAGGCCCTCTATTAGGGGCTGGGAACACAGTGATGTATCACAGGCAATCTCTGCCTTAATAGAATTCGCTTGTGTTTGTGAGGGAAAGAGACACGAAATTGAACATTATAATAGAATTTGATGGTGGGCTACCATGTGCAAATTGACAATGACACAAGGGATCTTGGCTTGAGGGGCCAGTGGTGAGGGGTGGGCCTACCCTGAGGAAAGGGTGTTGTTCTAATTTGTCAAAGAGGCCATAAGGGCTAGAAGTGGCCTTAAGATATGCTAAAAGGAAGTGCCGGACACCCTTGAACACAATGAATTGAGTGATTAACACTGTTACTGATGGTATAAAAAGTGGGCTTTGATAGGATATATGCAGTTAGGAAAAAAAACATACCCACTTCATGTAGTAATTTCACATTTGCAAAACCAAAACAACTTTTTTTGGTAATAAAACAGTAAAGGAGGAGGTGAGAGTTTTATCTTTTCAAAAAAGGTTCAACAACCATGGGCTTAGAAAAATAGAGCTACAAAACTTGGAGGAAATTGAGATCAAGTCCAAAGATTCTTGAGAAAAGAGACACCCAAAGAAGGGTTATGACAGACCTAAAGGCATTAGGTGACCAAGTGGCAGAGCTTGGCCTTCTGCCCGGGTTTCCTTACTTAAGTGGGTCTTTCTCAGAAGCCTTCAGATGCAACGTCTGCCTTGTACCCCTGAGGTACTCATGGAAGGAACATCATACTGATTGTATGGGGTGAGGAACTGTGGAGATGAAGAAGTCTTAGGAAGGGAAAGCAGCTTTCTCAGGACGGCTCTGAGACAGGCCTGGAGCCCACGCCTGACACCCAGCTCATGCACCCTGCGGGGTGGGGGACCCTACCTGCATAGCTCATGAAGTTGTTGTAAGGAGTGTTGAAGAAGCTATGAAAGCCACAGGTGTCATTCCCTGGTCCTGGGTCGCCACACAACTTGTGTTTTGGAGCTGGGTTGGTGTCACTGCAGAGGTCTCCGGTCTCAAAGGAGGGCTCTGTCTCCATGCAGGGGTCACTGCAAGACTGGATTTCTGAGATGCCTCGGAAGATGTGATAGAGACCCAGGCTGTGCCCGATCTCGTGGATCATGGTGTGTGTGTGCCCAGGAATGCCATAGAAAGACGGGTTCAAGACAATGCCACCTGCAAGGGGAAAACCAGAGCATTAAGCAAGCTGCTTCCTGGTGCAGGAATCCCCCAACAAATCAAAGGTCAATGGGGTGCTGCCCACGGTAGTCACAGGCCTTTCCACCCCAGGGACCCACTGCCCTGACAGCTGTTACGACTTGGGGTATTATCATCAGTTGAGTAGGAAGGAGTCTCAGCAGTTATTTTGTGTGGTCCCCTCATTTTTCCGAGGAAAGCACTGATGCCTAAAGAAGTAAGATGACTTATCCAAGTGATTTCAAACTGCTAACTGATTAGAAGAAATGGCATGATGAGAATTCAAGGACTTTGTTTTCTGGGCTAGTGAACATTTCTACTGAAATCTTTTCCTTTGACAGCAAGGTGCTCCCTGGTTTACAAATAATCTACACACTCTTGTCGAAATGAAGCCCGTGGTCAGATACCTTGGTTCCAGTTTTCATTTGCCTTCACTAATGCTGTAGCTTTAAGTCAAGTCCCATTTCAGAATCCCATTTCTTCATCTCTCATGCTCAATGAAGGCCAGTGCTATGTTGTGCTCACCCTTACCACAGCGATCATAAGAGCTAGAGTCTGTGGAGTATGTTTTATGTGTCCTCAGGCCCTGTGCGGAGGGCTTCACATGTATAATCACACTTAGTCCTCTCACAGCCCAGTAAGAGAGGCGCTGATCCACAGAAAGGTGAAGTGACCAGCTCACGATCAAGAGGTCGCAAGTGTCCAGCTGGAATCGGAACTCAAAATCCTTAGGTACAAAAGCCAGGGCTCTTAATGAGTTCTACAGCTAATAGCTATCACGGGGCTGAGAACATGGCATCTCATTAAAGATGTGTTGAGTACTTGCTGAATGTTGACCCAACTAAAGAGTGTTGTTTACCCAACTAATCACCTGTAAGCAGCAAGCCCAGCACCTGACGTACAGCACATGCCTTATTTACTGCCAAACTACTTGCGTCTCCAAGTGCGGCTCGAGAACAAGCAGCATGGACATCACCTGGAAGGTGAGTAGAGATGCAGGATCTCAGGTCCCACCCCAGACTTACAGAATCAAAACCTGTACTTTAACAAGAGCCCCAGATGACTTCTCTGTATGTTCGAGTTTGAGAAGCCATGGTCTAACCCACGCGTCTTAGAAAACTGAGCATTGCTTGGCTTGGGCAGATACATGGAACAGATTTCAGCAGACTCAATGTTCATTTTACGCACTGATGAAACACACAGAGGCTGCAGAGAGATATTTAAACTTTAAAACCCAAACATGTGTAAGAGAAGGTTAAAATTCAGATCTGAGCATCTTGCAAGGTATGACTTTAAGTGCAGGACAGTGTCTTTTAAAAGAATGGTGATGAGGCGGGGCCTTGTTGGTTTGCACTGGCAAGCCTGCAGCAGGCCAAGGGGGAGTTTTATCTTGGTTGAACAGCCCAGAGGGTGAGGTCGCTCAGTGATGGAGCTCCCGGAGTCTATTACTTCTAAATTGCTCAGAGCCTTCTAGCAGAAAGGTAAAGATGTATGAGAGGGTGTGTAGAGGTGTGTGCATGCACACGTGTGTGTGAAGAGGGTCAGCAGAGGCAAGGAGGAAGAGAAACTGAGACAGGAAATCTCTCTAATATGAAACACAGTCACCTTTCCACCCCAAATCTTCTTCCAAAAATCATGGTGTAACGACAGGAAAGAGAGTTAAAAACACACATCCATATATATGTATATGATTCTAACAGATTGGGTTTGTTTGGGGCTACTGCAGAGGAATTGCTTAGAGTTAACATCTCCCAGGATGGGGAGGTGGCAGCCTGAGGCTGGCTAGAGGCAGCTGGAGTTACCCCGGAAAGATTACAATCCTCACTCTGTTTCACACTGGCTGTGTGATCTCGGGGAAGTGATTTTGTGTCTCTGGTGATTTCTAAAATAAGCAGCTGCAACAGTGCCGATGCTTCTCTGTCTCTCCATGAAGCTCCACCACCGAGGTAATGGCAGGGAGGGGCAGGACCCCACAGGCATTTTCAGGGAGAGGGACAGGGGCGCAGACTTGGTATCTGGGCTGACTGTTTGTTTTACCTCTTTCCCTCCCAACTCACCCCTTTCCAGAGAGTGACAGCACACAGCCCGAGTCCTATTTCACTGCTTCTCTTAAAAGGTGAAATGTCTTGAGCCTGACATCATCCTGAAATACTATAACACGCTATAGATTTATAGCCTTCTCTACGCCTGGTCCTGAGCCAGGCTCTGAGATGCGTGGAATTTTGAGGACTCTTTCTTCTCTAACTTTAGAAGCCTGCTGACCAACCCTTCTAAGACTCTGATCAAAGAAGGGCCTTTTGCAGTTGCTTTTCCAACAGGACAGGATTTCAGCACTGAGAAGGGTCCTTGGAGGCCATCTAGTCTAACCCGTTCACTGAAAATCTGCGGAAATTGAGACCTGGGAGAAGAAAGAGACTTGCCTAAGGCCATACAACTAAGTAAAGTCATGGCTGAGAACAACCATGTATCCTGGCTCTGTGCTAACATGATTCCCATACCTCATACTAGGCACACGTATAAGCTAATATCTGTCTTCTGGTTTGCCTAAGATGCACACTCTCTTCTGCTCAACCTCTGTCTGTCTGTCTTTCTCAGGGTCCCTCAATTTCAGCACTACTGACATTTCAAACTGGATATTTCAGTAATGTTGTATATACAGCAGCATCGCTGGCCTCTACCCACTAGATGCCAGTAGCATCCCCCCATTGGTAACAACCAAAAATACCTCTAGACAATACCAACTGTCTTCTAGGGGATAAAATCTCCCCAGTTGAGAACCACTTTATATTTATTTTTCTTTCTTTCTTTAGAGAATCACACAGTTGCACATATTCACACACACACACACACACACACACACACACACACAAATTGGCTTCATTCTCTGGAAAACAATTGGGAAATGAGAGCTGCAGGAGAAAACTAAGTCTGGAGTTTGAACTCTTCATTGTTTGAAGCTGCTGAGTCCCTCATCTCCAAGATATCACAGATGGTGAGCGCTACTAGACTCTGGATGCATCACTGGTAGACCAGGTGGTCTGAGGAAACGTCCAGACTGTCGCTGGCTGATCCCGCATGTTCTCAGATGAAGATACCCAGTGAGTCAGCCCGATTCACTGGTGTAAATAATAGGAACATTCTACCAAGGGGAAAATGGTTAAATAAATTGTAGTGCCTGCAGTGCCCTCCCTCAATGGAATATTAAGTGGCCAGGAAAAATGTCTTTAGAGAGATGGAAAAAAATCCTGGAAGATGCTTTTGTCTGTGACACTAAGTGAAAAATGTTGGATGGGATGTAATTATGAAGATTGTTGCAACATGGAAAAAATGTAGATAGCATAATATTAAGTGAAAAAGGAACACATAATTGCATTTATGCTATGATTTTAAGTATGCACAAGTTAAAAAATGCATGCCTACATTAGATGCATGCGTACTGGAAGAGAGCATGGAAAAAAAAAAACAAAAGACTATGTTTGCTTCCAGGGCCTACTTCAGAAACCATTGTCACCTCTGACTTTTGGTGATTGGTTTGTATCAACATATGTCTTGTTTATGAATATGCACAATTTGAATGTAAGAAGAGTTTGGCATTGTTGGTGGGTGGAACATGGAAGAACAAGGAGTTCTTACAAACCCACTTTCTCTGGCCTCTTTGGTGTCTTTGAAGCCAACCTGTGACTAGCATGTCAGTACAATGTGGTTACCAGGCTGGGAAGATCTGCATGAACAAAGAGGCAGGCGATATAAGGAGAAAGCAATCATGGACAGAGCTGTAAACTTGAAATCCAAATGTGCCTCTGCCACTGACTTAACCTGTAGCCTTGGATAAGTCCCTCTCTGGACCTCGGTTTCCCCATTGGTAAAACAGGACTAGTATTAATGTGGTTTTTTTCTTCACAGCATTGTTTGGTGGTTGAAATAAGATAAGGAAGGCTAAAGGGTTTTGTAAATTAGAAAGTGATAAATAAATTGTTCACCATCACCATTACTGCCACTGCCATCATGATCATGACCACCATAGATCATTATCATAACTAAATTTAATCCTGGTTTAATCCAGTTTTCTTCTGAAGAAATTTCTAATTCTCACCTAAGTGCATTAGGGCCTCTTTGTCCCATGGCCAAGTTGCTACTCCTGCCAATTCCTCCTCCGAGGAGTTTGCAAAGAAGATATTGAGGTGCGTTGATCCATCCAGTCTGAGAATGTTCTTCAGTTCATTAACATCCAAGTATGCTCTGGAATAGAAAAAGAACCTTGCCTGTCATCACCATCCAAAAAAGGTACTCTTCAAATAACAGGTATTCTCAATTCATTAAGAACTATTTTGTGGTAGGCAGTCTGCTAAGCACTTTATAAACACCACCTCACTGATGTCCCTCAGTAATATTACAAGGTAAATTGGATGCTCCCATTTTACAGAGGAGAAAATTAAGTCCTTAGGAGTTTAAGAGACTTGATAAAGTTGCTCAGATTATAAATAGCAGAGTTCAATTTAGAACCTAGATTTACCTAAAGACAACACCTGTGCCTCTAAAGACTCCATTACACTGACTGACGACAGGGCCACACACTATGGATGTAGATCAAGAATACAAACCAGAGGGGAGGTAACATGTATTCTAGTCTTGGCTTCTTTCCTACTTTACTCACCCACTATAGACCTTGGACTGTTTATTTGGCAAATACAGAGCTGCACTGGGGAGCTGCTTTGCCTCTCTATACCAACTTTCCAGAGGCATTATTATTCTACTTTCAAGATAAGCAACATGTGGTCCAATGTGGTTTTAAACTGGTTGCCAGAAGTTACACTACTGGGTTTCAGGGTCAATTCTGTCTGGCTTGGAAGCCTACACTCTTTTCACGTGGGCATGGTGCTGTCTCCCATAGATGATTCTGTATTCTGTAAGCTTCTACTTTGTAAAATAGACCAGAGGGATATTGTATTTGGGGTAGCTGCCATTACTGTAGATGGACATATCTGGGAAGTGCTAACGCCCCATGCTATGATCGTCACCTCTTTAATACATGGAAAAACACACACTGGAGAAAGAAATGGTCTCTGGAGGGAGACTGGCATATCCTAGGAGCTCAATAGATAGGAACCCTTCCCTTGCAAAGTATGACCCCTCCATCAGAACAGAAATGTGAAAGCTTTTGGTCAGTCCCAGGCATATTAGTGGATCATTTTTTAAACAGAAAAAGGCCATCATATATCTTAGGGATCCTTGTGAGCAGCCAATAACCATTTATTGAGTAAAGTTGGAAATGAATCAATGAATAAATGAATAAGAGCATACATAAATAAGCAAGCAGGAAGTTTGATTTAATAGGTTAGATAAAGTCTCTGAGTATGATATTTAATGTTCGATGGGCCCTTCTATGTGGTCTGGTCTTATGTGGATTATCTCCTTTAATCTTCTGAATAACACTGAGGTAGGTAGTATTATTACCCTTATTTTCCAGAGGAGGAAAAAGAGACGCCAAGAACCTTCACACCTTGCTAAGGTCACACAGCACATCGGAAGTGTTTTCCTTTCCCATAATGCTGCCTCTCCCTGGGGGTTGGCACAGAGCCTGGCCAGTGCAGCCCTAATGACGGCTCCCTTCCCTCTCCCTCCTGGAGTAGGAGGACCTCCTCAGAAAGTCCAAGGTCCCCAGCATGGCCTTCCCCTCAGCCTCGTGCCTCTCTGCTCCCTCTCTTGAATCTCCCCTGTGCCCACGGCGCATGATGCAGTGCCTTTACTCATATTGCTCCTTCTGTTCAGGACTCTACTCCCCGTTTTGTCCTCTGATGAGCAATCCAAAGTCCATTCTGGCACCACTCCTGCTTCCCGTCTCAGCTCCGCCCGCTCTGCCCTCCTGTCCTTATCCACCTTCTGTGAGTACACGCTCTCACACCCGCCGAGCCACCGCTTGCACTCCACCTGACTACGTCCACCACCGTTTGTGGCTCCCTGAGGGTGGCGAGTCTGCCTTATTCCTCTCTGCATACCCGGTTCATAGCAAAGGGCTTGATGCCAGCCAGCATGCAGTAGGTGCTGATGGAGTTGAATTTACATTGGAAAAGAGAAAAGCTACAACAGTTCGGTGCGGTTCTCAGTTTCAGCCCTTCCTGCTTATGAGATCTCAGTTTCGTATCAATACACTGGCCTTAGTAACAGCTTCAGAGACCTCGGAGGGTCACGAGCCTCCACCTCCACTCCGGTGGTAGTAGGATGTGTCTGAGACCTAGCGTGCCCTCCTGGCCACCTTCGTGATCAAGAGGTCATAATAGGCCATGTGACTGTAGTTTTCCCGGCTTTTCAAAAGAAAAAGTTAACATGAGTTGAAGATACAGGCAGGGCCAGGAGACGTCACATCTCTGTCTAGGTGGAACTGCCTCATTCCAAGCAGAGCTGCACAGGCTCAGATCCTGACCTGACATCTTGCTGCTGGGCTTCTCTTTCCCCAGATCTTCATGAGGCACTGCAGCCCTTCTCTGGGATCAGAGAAGGAAACAGGAGGGGGAAGCCGGCATTTACTGGGCACCGCTGCATGCCCACTCCTGCGCTAGCTCACACCTGTTGCCCCGTCTCGGCTGAAGTATTTGAAGCCAGCGAGGCAGAGTGATAAGATGTCTCATTCTCAAGCTGGAGTCTTGGGTTTGTCTCCAGCTCTTCCACTTGACCTTTGGGTCATCCTGGGCAATTTTTAACTTCCTATGCCATTGTTTCATATACAAAACAAAGATGCTGGTAGTATTCACCTTACAGAGTTGCTCAGAAGATTTGGGGGTGTTAATCAAGGCAGTGTGAAGGGCTTACAATAATACTCGGCATGTAGAAAACCTCAATACATGTCTAGCTAATCCTATTATTTGTCCCAGTCTTACAAACAGGGGTTCAGAGATCACACAAATAGTGACAAGGCCAAGTGCAAACCTAGATGGGTCCAGTTCTTCTCACAACCTCACCCTCAATTCCAAGCTCATTCAGAGCCGTGGTGAAACAATGTGTGGGAGGAGAACGAAAACACAGAGAAGCCGAGGTTTTCTTGGATCAGCCCTTTCCACGTTATTTATTATTTTCTAATTGATGTCCATTTCCACTAAGCATTCTCTCGGGCAGAGAACACAAATGTTATTAGAGAGAGTCACCTCTTGCCCCACTGCTTGAGGCCAAGAACGCTTCGGGAGAGGAAGAGACGAGGGGCGGGGGAGACATTTTATGTGGTTGTTTTCAGCAGTAGTAATTGCAGAAGCCAGTCTTTTAGGGGGTGGTAGTCCTCCTGGCCCAAGGCAGTGAAGTGGGATGCTGGGGCCTCCCTTGTTTGTCCATATGTGTATTATTTTTTTCATACTTTGAGAAGCCTCCATTTCCCCAAAGAGGAAGAACCCACAGAAGCCACCCAGGACCCTGGCATCACTGGCCTCTCTCCTCCCCATCTCTTTTGGGGCAATCCCACCAAAGGAAAACAGGTCTGTGGCTAGAAGCTTTCCACCTGCTGATGGAGGCCTTCCCAACAATTCCGAGTCAAGCTGAGTGTCTCCCAAGTGCATACATAAGGGGAAAATCTTAGGGCCAGGAATCCACGTGGGTATTTAATTCCGCCCCCTCACCTCCTCAGGATGATGTGTGCTCCCCTCTGGTAGTGAGAGGAGGAGCACGTCGAGCTGAGAAGGCCCGCCACGGGTACTGAGAGTGTCCATGGAAGGAGGAAAAGGTCTTGCTCAGGGACACCTGGCTTTCCATGTGTGGGAAGGCTAACCCTGCATGTGTATTACAAATCGGTCAAATTCATTTTTCAGAGAATCATTACCCACACTCCAGAAAAACTGACACAAATCCCAAACTCTGTGTGTTTATTCATTTACATGTCAGTGTTGCTCAGAGTTGGATGGACAGACCAAGGGCCATGGGCTAGTTGCTTTACACCTCTGGGCGGCCGCTTATGGGCGCAATACTGTCAGGATGAAACGAGACAGCTCAGCACCGTCCTGCACACACTGCCTCCCACATCCTGGTCTCCTATGGGGAAAAAACCCAGCCTGACAGTCTGCCTCTGGGTGGCTCTCCCAGTCTCAGTGTTCAGTGTCTCCACCCCACCACCCAACCTTCTTCTTCCTCCTGCAACCTCTCCCGCTCAGGTTCTCGTGGTTTCCGCATCCCAAGACCCCCTGGTTCTCCCAGTTATACCCATTTCCTAAGCACTCCATTAGCTTCCCTCCCCTGCCTCACAGCCTTGCTTCCTGAATCGCAGCTTTTTACCATCTTGCCTTTCCTGCTAAGTCCAGCTTATATGTGCTGTACTGCATGTATGCACTCCTGGCCACCCTCACTTATTACATGGGGTGATGTGCACATTTCAGGGGTGTCTAAAGGCAACTCAAAGAAAGTGTCCTGCACAGTGCTTGGCATACAGAAGGCACTCACCGATTAGTGTAGGCTACTTTGTTGCATTATTGTTATTACAGTGATAATTACTAGTAACGCCAAAATCATCACCATCGCCTCTACTTGAAAATGATTTCTCCCTGCTCAGAGCCTCCCCGTTTTGACTCAGAACTCATACTTATGAGTACCTGTCTTCTCCATCAGGCTATGAGCTTCAAGCAGGTGGGGGTCAATTCTTTATCATCTCTGTGCCCTCTAAAACTTCCCAGAATGAGAGGGAGAGGAAGAGAGCATGTCCCCCACCACAGATTGGCAGCTCTTGAGCACCACTCTCTTAAACTGCATAATCAAAAGAGGATGAGGAAGCCCAGGGCTCAGAGAAGTGATGGAGGTATCAAATGCAGGACAGAGAAGGGCCGGAAAACAAATCTCTATTCACTAGCCTGTGTGTGGCAGTACTTTTCACCAACTAGCAAAGTTGTCTCTTCCTTCAGGGGGGCCTAGTTCCCTGCAAGGGTACATGACTTTGGAGTCAAGCACAGGGGGGGACTGCAGCCCTCAGGAGATGTCCCTGTGCAGAACCTGCACTGCATGAATTTCCAGCCTATTCCCACTGTGCTCTGCTGCCCGGTGTGCAGCTCAGAGCCCCCATCTGTTCCGTGAGCTTGGGAATCAGATCAGTGTTTCCCAAATCACAGTCTATAGAAGGCTAAATGTGCAAGAAGCAGATGCATATTTAAAGGGGTAGAGTTTCTGAATCAAATGGGTTCAGGACCTGCTCTAGTAACAAGGCTAAATATATATAGTTTTCATTTTTGCAAGAATTTTCAGTGCCTTTAATAAATAAAATGGCAGTAGGGCAG